TCTCTCTCTCTCTCTCTCAAATTTAACTCATAATTAGTACAAAAAGTAATACGTTATCTATAATTATATTAATAATAATTAACACCAAACAACAGACGATATAATGCCGGAGCCAAAGACCATGTTCGAGGCGACGGCCGAGGCCAACAACCTGACCGCAGTGGCCACAGTCCGTGACAAATACATGGCCGGAATGGAAGTGATATGCGGCGGCGATCGGCAGTTTATTGACCATGCTACGTTGGAGTCCCACCACGACAAACTCAAACAAATATCGCTGGAACTGTTCGATAAGATACCGAAGATGGGCGGCGCCGAGTTGTCCGACTCCTATAGGGAACTGTTGGCCACCGATTTGGACAAATCGTACGATCATTATTACGCCCACAATAAAACTAAAGAACCTAGATTTTTCAAAAAGTAAACTTTAAATTACATTACATAACAAATGCATAAAGCATTGGTTTTTAAAAAATTAATGTTTCTAATTAAATTAACGCGCTTGTATTTTATTTTATGATGATCAGATTGGCCAAGGTACTGTTGATATCAGTACCAATTGTTACCATCGTCGCATGCTGTCCGGTATTGTGTCTTTTACTATTATAGATGGTCACGTGACGTGAGTTGTAATTAACTATTTACGAGTTATATTGTACTTATATTGAGATATATTATTTTTTTAACCACGATTCAATTATGAATGAGGTTTAAAGGATCATCATGAGGCGCCTCCCGTTTCCCAGCACTCGATGTGATTCTATATGGGTTTTCAGCTTAAGTCTATGGCTATACTTTAACATTGGGTTCTTCACCTTTAATATTTAACAAGATTGTATACTTATAAACAGATTTATATAACGTTTATTTTAAAAATAAGTTTAAATTATGTTTTGATTAGAAACAATGTTTATAAAAAGTTAACTAAGACAAAATTATATAAACAAACACATTAATTATACTAAACACAATAAAATGATTATAAATATGTATTTTAGGAATATACATTGATCAAGATTAGATAAAGTCGTTGTAAATTATTAATACAATACAACATCACACATACATTTACAAAACTACTGACATTATAGCCAAGACTATTATACATTACTATAAAAATAACTTTATTATAATTGAAAATTAATTATTTTATAGTTCGTTATAACTTATAACTATAACTGGTTTAATAAAAGTAGATTAATAATAACTGTGCTGTGACTTTCCCTATGTTCCCTACTATGTTGAGGGCTCTATCAAATTGCATGCAATAATAAAATTAACACAAAATAAAACAGTCAAATAAATCAATAAAAATATTTAAAACTAATTTTGTTAAAATTTAATAATAAATATTTTTACTTTATTTTATATCTATACAATTGTACTTAACATTAATTATTACATTATTACATTAGTATTAGTTTTATTTTTATAAAAATTGTGAGCATGTTGTGAATAAGTGAATAAATTTTGATTTGATTAAAAAAAATATCTATTATAAATTAACCAAGGACACATTATATAAACAAACTTAATGATTACATTATGTAATAAAATGATTATACATATTTTATAAATATTATTACTATAAATTTATCAAGATTAGATAAAGTAATTGTAAATTATTAATACAGTACAAAATTATTGGCATTATAGCCGAAACTCTTGAACATTTTTGTAAAAACACAATTTTATTATAAGTAAAAATTAATTATCTTATATTTCGTTATAACTAAAACTGTGTTTAATAAAAGTAAATTAATCTTAAACTGCATTATACTGTTATATATAACATGTCCGACACAACTGTGCCCACAGTTGGATATTTCAAAATGCGTGGTAGGGCTCAACCCATACGCCTATTGCTGGCATATAAAGGCGTTAAATTTACCGACAAATATTATGACCCGCCGGGTGCTGACACCCCGGAGTCGTATAGGGTTGAGTGGCGTAAACAAAAATTCACCCTGGGCTTTGACTTTCCCGATGTTCCCTACTATGTGGAGGGCTCTATCAAATTGACACATAGTATGGCTATTATGCGACACTTGGCCCGAAAGCACGGACTGGTGGCCACCGACGAGACCGGACTCGTACGCCAGGATGTGTTGGAGCAACAGTTGACTGATATTAGAAATGGTTTTTGGGGAGTACTATATCCGGGCGCTGGCTATGAGATAGACTTGTTGTTTAATAATGAATACGTTAGCGAAAAAGTTCAATATACCGCCAAAACATTGCCTAAACAGTTGGACGCGTTGTCCCGGTTTTTGGGTACCCGTCAGTGGTTTACCGGTAATCACATTAATTATGTAGACTTCTTAGCGTATGAGCTCTTGGATTGGTTCCGACTCTTCAGCGCCGGTACTGTCGATAAGTACCAGAATTTAATTCAATTCTTAACCCGTTTTGAGAGTTTACCGGCGATTAAGGCATACATGAAATCACCGGAGTTTATAAGTTGGCCAATAGATTCACCCAACGATATCTGGGGTTTCAAAAAGTAATTTTTAATATTTTGATTTTTGTAATCAATGATTACTAATCATATAAATTGCTAATATTTTTGAAATGTTATTAAGTTATGTATTTACTTTCTAACAGTAAAACATTTACATATTATTACCAGTAATTATTAATTATAATTAATTAATTTTAATAAATTAAACTATTATTATTAATTGGTTATGTCAGAAAACTGTTGTTATAATAATGTCTAATAAAAAACCTTTCTTTTTTAAACTGGGAAGTTTTTTACGTAGAAATATATGTACAAAAATTGTACACTTGGTGTAAGTTAGGCGCCGCTATTACAATGAGCATTTTATAAATCCAATACATTATTTTTATTTGTTATTTACTAAGCTGATACCATCAGTAAAGTCAAAAATATCTACATCAGTTTTCACAGATTATTCAATTATTACGAACTGGTGGGTTCAATGTAACATGGCCACTCTCCATTGTACAAATAGTGGTGCCGCACTTGGGTCCGGTTAGTCGGGCCTCAATATAGCGGGCGGTAAGTGCGGCCACGCCTTTGGCTCCGGCGCACCCGTCCTGATCGTCGGCCACAAAGGCGTTGGACAGGAAAAGAGTATCGCCGGCGCACCGGCCACTGGTAACTGTGCCCGTGTTTATCTCATCAAAATTACCTAGATTTAAATATAATAGTATGTAACATTTTAAGTTTTATATTGTTTTAACGCTGTATGTTAATAATAATAATATTAATTAATTAAATAATAATTGCATATTACTTTAAATTGATATAATAATTAATAATATACAGTAGCTTTATAAAACTAGCAGGTTGCAATATAAAACTAATTAATTTATTGTAGCCTTGTAATGTAAAATAACTTTTAACTTACCATTCAAATATGATAAATATACGTCAATTTTGTTGAATGTCAACTGTTCCACTTTATTATCTACCACGATATCATATGCCATCCCATGTTCAAGTGATTGGTAGCCATTGCAAGTGAATTCGACGGGAAATGTCAAATTAGTGAGTTGTAAGAATTGTACGTTTGACCCTGTACATTTTAATACATAGTCAATGGTGAGGCTTGTTATCCTAAACGGCGTAACAGCTATAAAATAAAATATATTGATCATGGTAAAATAATTTTAAATTAATTAAACTCCAGAATATTTATTGCAAATTACGATATTTTTCTCCAACTTTTGGTAACCCATTCTGGTTGAGTGTTTTACCATGTATTTCATGAGCTGTTTATTAATACATTTTAAATTTTAGATTAATTTGTTTTAAAATTTTTATTTTTAAATTAGATAACAGGTGAATAATAAATACCGTTAGAAGTAACATGATGAAATGCAATAATAAAATTAGCACAAAATAAAACAACAGAATATTTCATTATAAATATTTTTAATTAATTTGATTAAAATTGATTATAAATATTATTATTAATTTATTTTATATCTATGCAATTGTACTATCTATGCAATAGATAACTAGTGTAATTTTTGCTAGTTAAACTTAACAAAAACAAGTTTGTTACGCTTATTTATACCCTGTTACCTATTGCTTTGTGTTATTAAGTATGTGTAAACTTGATAGCACATAATGCACTTTACAATAGATACAAGTACAAATACCTTGAACAATAATTGTTGCAGGTGTGTTGAAAATTATTAATGGGTAATAACTTACTATTATTTTTAAAGTAGCAAATCAAATGTTCATTGTATATCAAGCTTAATTTGTAACAAGATTATAATTCTTTGAATAATTATTATTTTATTATTTAGATATTTTATAATTTACATATTTACTAATTACAGATAATTCAAAGTTGTTTACACTAAATGTTTTTATCTTAGATAATATTGCAAGTTAATTAATTAATAAGTAACATAATAATTTTTTTTATAAACCCTACAACTAATTATATACTTTACATTTTTAAATATTTAACATAATCTTATTAACAAATTTATAATAATTTTAACCAAGCAAAGAAGCAAATTAAAAATTATATCGGTGATATTATTATCAATCACATGCCATTTATAATGAACATTAATACAATCAGACTATTGTTTATTAAACATTTTATAATTTTTATTTGTTTTTATTATTTTATACTTTTTTTGTATTTAGTTTTTTGTAATTTTTTTGGATTTTTAAATGCTATTTTCAAATAAATGTTGTTAATATTATTGTAGATAGTTGTTTTGCTTTTGTTAGTTATTATTAAGGAAACCGCGTTCCAGCAACTTTCCAGCAACTTTATATATATTATAGAGTAACTGGATGTTTATTAATATGTCTATTTGCTTATGAGTGTTGTATTTGTAATGAAAATGCACAATTGACTCATACTGCAATATATATTAAAAACATGACTGGTTTCCCTAGTTATTATATATAAATTGAATTAAATAGTTATATTTAAAGTACTGAACAAATATTGAAATATACGAACAAATCACCGATATATAGGGTGTTTTTTATTGGACTACAACATTTTAAAGTCGAATATCTCGAAATGTATTCGGTCTAGAAATTCAAATGATATATCAAAATACTCATCAACTGCGGGAGTTTT